CCTCCGCCCCCGCCTCCCTCGGATACTCGGAACAGGTGACCGCGGGGCCGCTGGTCGTGCCTCTTCATCCACCTCGGTGCGTGACACGGCCAGCCTCACGCCCCTTATGAATACTAGGCGGGCTTCGGAGCCGACCTCAGGCAGCCTCTGCTCAGGGTGGGCTCTTCGAAGAGACCGAGAGCCGCTTGAGCCCATGGGTCCAGCTCCCGCCTGACCGTGCCTGCCATTCCCCCATTTCCCCGAATACTATCCATGATGTCGTTTGCTTCCACGTGGCTACAGATTCAGTAGCCCGTGAACCCACCTACGGAGTCAGAGAAGCGCCGGGAGCCTGAAAGGACTGTGGACTCCAAATTATATGGGCGGGAGGAGAAAGGCAAAGGGCACAGACAAATAGCCCCTATTAAAGGGTGATCCGCTGGTCCTTGACTCACAGACAAGTATACAGTACTGGCATAGCAATGGCTGCCTGGATGGTTGAGCCCTACTCTGCCACAGAATGAGTGAGGTATGCGGCAGGTTACTGCTTAAAGGGGGACAACTGATGGAGAGCAATGGGTGGATTCCCCTGCCTTTGTTTTCCCTTTCACCAAGCACCACCTGATGGCAAGAAAAACAACCACCAATTGCTCTCCTTAATAAGTGGTAAGAGAAGATGGGGCTTGGAATAGCACCTTTAGCCACCTGTCAGTTGCCTCACTAACAGAAAGAATATCATATCTGTTCCCCAAAAGCCAGTTGACAAGTCACAGGGTATGATGGGAAGAAAGTGGAGCAATCAATAACACGTGGGTTCTGTTCTTGACTAGGAGTGCTCAAGAGAATGGCAGTGCTAGATACAGGTCCAGTTCTGACCTCATGGCCACCAGTGCCTGGAAGTAGCTGATGGCCAGCCATGAAGCCAGAATGGAGTGTGCAGAACAAAATGGTAAAAAAGTGTGGCCACAAGAATGGCCCTGTTGGCAGAAGTAGCAGAAACTAATAATTCATCCAAAGGTGACAGAACCAGCAATACAGTTGGCAGAACCTCCATTCTTTCCTAGTTTAAATCAACCTTCTGTCTAGGGTACAGGAGTTTAAAAATAGGCTTAGCATTGTCAAAAGAAGAGCCTGTTTGAGACCCATCAGGCCCTTTGGGAAACACTGATCAGACATGAAATGTACCGATGGTGATGACTGTTGGAAGCCGGGTTCCAGTCTCTCCTGCATCTCAAGCCAAGATGATCATGGAGGATCATTTCCAGTGACCAAAAGTGGGGGAGGGCACCCCCATCAAGTCCTAAAAGTGACCAGCAGGAGCTTCATCCACTGCAGCATCAAAGAATGCATGACAAATGTTGTGTCAGGAGAAGAGGGAAAACATTACTTCAGAACTGGAACAGATCAATATGACTTTAAAGATACAGGTACAAGACAAAGGCTACACCATGAGGACGAGATATACAAAATGATGATTGGAGCATGTTCATTCAGCAGTTGGGGGACATGAGTATCTGTGGGGGAGGGCAAGAGGGGCATAGGCATGTTGACATCATCACAAAAATGAAGGGAGCTACTTATCTGAAAATGATGCAAGTATGTAATTGTCATTTTCATGATGACATCATTGTGACTTGTACTTATGGACATGAGGATGAGTCCAAAGGGAAGGAGAATAATGTTAAAAGGGAAGAAAATGTACGCACCAGCATTGCCATTTTCCCCCTTTTTTGCCCTGACCCTTAAATTGCCCTGACCCTTAAACAGGCTGAACATTTAAACAGGATACATATCAATGTGAGACAAAATAAAAACAGCATGAATAAGGACTGATGAGTTGAGAATTGGGGAAAGATCCTGAAATGTTTTCACAAATGACGTTAGGATTAGTTCCTTTGAAGCTCTGTTTGTTGCTAATTCATCTATAGGCAAGACTGCAAGTACAAAAGAAGATATTTGGCTAACTTAGCTTATTGATTAATGAAAATTTATGCACTTCTGTAACTAGGGGTTGACCAAATTTATCTCTTTATTTTAGTGCCTAGAAAACTTTAGTATATGTGATATTGGCAAGTTTCTTCTATGGTATTATCTTTCCACATTGTCCTCATGGTTAAGAACTAAGCTATATAATCAATAAAATTATCCAGTGCATTTCTGGTAGATTTAAACCACATCAGAATATATAACCTTTTGCTTAAACTGTAAATGGTTCCTTATTTAAAATAAATGTCATGGTTACATATACATATAAAAGTAGCACTTCAGGAAAGATGCTAAGTTTAGACCAGCTTTCCTTAAACAATAGTTTGTTTTTCCCCACCCCACTGGTCACCTCCCCATGCAGGATGTTATATACAAACATATTATTTCTCCTAATTTAAGTCATGTTGTCAAATAAAGGTCGTGTTAAATGGTTCAAGTGATCATATAATTTTAGTTCTATAAAGGACAGTAGCAGGTGATGATAATCCATGCTATTTATTACTGATTTCTTTGTATATGAGAATATTTAAACATTGAATTATATTAATGTCAAGGAAACTTAGGAAACTCTAAAGCAAATGATGAAAAAAATGCCTCAAAAAGTAGATTACAATTAAATATTGAGTTAACATATTTAATACTTCTGCATGAGAGCATCCCAAAGCTCAGACAATGCTACCAAACAAATTTCAGCCTAAATAAGGCTAAATAAGGCTAGTCTCAAATGGAAGCACTATTTGGAGAAGGCCATTGACTCATTATTTAAAGCAGGTGGCAGCACCTAGCTGACTTTGGCTGATTCTTCCCCTCCCCTTCCAAATTCCTAAGCAGAGTTAGACTGATTAGTATGTGGGTAGGAAACCACCAGGAAACTGTTAAAAAAAAAATCCCAGAAAAAGGCAATGGCAAGCTATTTCCACCTTACTGTTTAGAATACTATATGGATATATTTGTCTGTATTGACTAATTACCTTAATGTATAAACAAGTAATTAGATGGGTTAAGGCTGCTATAGTCCCTATGAAATGAAGCCACTAGATGAATGTGTGCTATAAGTGCATCTCTGAGTACAAAATGATGTATGACATTTCATACATTCCTATAAATTTGGCTTATCAGAAACACGAGAAGCCCTGGTCTCTGCAAGTAACATATTCAACCAACTTCTAAAACGTTTTAACCATAATTATATTGCAACACCCCTGTCTCCAGCATACACCACTTACTCAAGTGTTTACTGAGTTTCAGTCCTCAGATCAGTTAAAATCAATGGAATTAGCTTCTGAGTCCACTTCATCCCCCCATTTTCCCCTAAAGGACTGATCTCTGCAATGGAGAAAGCATGCATAAATAAAATATCTATGCTTTTCTTGACATTAGACCCTAGAATATTCTCATTTGTGCCAATATTCTAGAGTTATTTTAGGAGAGTAGCCATAAGTTGGCTGTAGACTTTGGCTGAAATTCTCCTGACTGTTTAAAGGATCTGCAAAACTCTACAATTTGAAGCAAAGCTTCTAGATAAAAAGGGCATAGCAACATATTTACATGACCTAATTCTTTTCCGTCAGAGCCTGGAAAATTTCATACATAAAATGTCACTCTCCTTTTTCTCTGAAAAGTTTGTTACCAGTGGTCCTATACAAACACTGTTTGTTCCTCCCAAGGGAGAAAGTTTCTTGTCTTACAATTCCTTCCACAGTTATGTGGAAAAAATTCCTTTATCTAGGAGTTGGCTGAAAGGCACATCAACTGTAACAATCTCACTTTTAGGAAAGTTTACATAATTTATATACAGATGTGGGGGGGGATTTTTCACAAAGAAGAACAATGTGAGCTGTCAGGTGAACTCAATAAAACATTCATAAAACATGGGTTTAAGAATTAGCCTTGAAGGGTATTTCCTGCTACTGAATTAAAGTGCTATCCTCTCTTCCTTGTGTTGGTGTAAAAGAAAACTGGCATGAAATTTGCATAATCCATTGACAGCCCCTATCCTACCTCTACAGCATCTGTCCCAAGACATTGCCAAGTTGTGCTGTCCTGATTTGTGATTGGACAGTCATTACAGGCAAGGTGATTGGTTCTTAACTTCAGGTTTGTTGCTACTCCTTAGCAGGCCACCAGCCAGCAAGGAAAACATGCAGGAGTCAGGGCTCTGAAGCAGGATTGGGGGGTTGGAATTTTGCCTAGACTTCTTTAGCTTGTTTTGACTACCCCTTCTCCCATACCTCATTTGAGTCTCTTACAGAGGTTTTTTTTAAAATGTGAAATATATAAGAAAGCACCAGAGATAGACAGACAATAAATAGATATGTGTAGGTGTGTATTCATATATATTAATTCATTTATATTTACACTGAAAGCAAGCCTTAGAGACAAAAAAGTTTGTTCTGAAGGAATTCAGTTTATGCAGTAACATCAAAAATATATAAGGTATGATATCATGACAAAAAATGATTCTGAAACATCAGAAAGATCCCATGTGAGCTAGATAAGTCAATGATTCTCAGGAGGAAACATACCAGGAAGTGTGAGAAAAGTGCCAAGGTGGTAGTAGGCAACTGTAATATAGAACTGCACAAATACACCCCTTTTTTTCCCAAAGTAAAGCAATGGAAGACTATCTTGTTGGAAGCCTA